AGTGCTGGGATTACAGGCTTGAGCCACCGCGCCCGGCCTTCCTCTTTATAACCGAGAATAAACCAAAGATCTTGTTTATTTTTTAATTGATTTCAGCATGGATTTTCTGAGCCCCTGCTCTGTACACAGCGCTCTGCTGGGTCTGTGAAGGGGTTCAGGTCAGGTGTGATGCTGTGCTCTTCACACACCAGCCCCGATGGCGCATGCTCAGTTGTCTTCTCTTCTTTCTCTTTTTTTAATCTAACGCCGATTAAACATCTCAGGATCAGTTGTCTTCTTACTGTGAGGTTAACTTTGGTGACTTGAGTAAGATGCTGCCTGCAGATTTCTCCACTCTTAAAGTTTCCAATATATTCATTAGCCAAGAGGCCTCAGAGGTGAAATACTAAGCTGACTGCAACCCAGCTACGAATTTGATTCAATTGTTCAATGCAGGGTTCTCATACTATAGGTGCCAGCAATCATTTAGGAAATCCCAGAGAAGAGAATGAATGTTTTCTTATTCACAAGTGTAGGGTCGCCAGTTCCCCCTGCTTTCTGTATCCTGACTAAAAGTCACAGAGTGCCTTGACATGTGTCACCTACCCAGCTGCAGGTATTCTGCAGCAGGCTTGAAGCCAAACTGGGCCTTGAACATTCTCAGGCACTGATAAAGCTGCCTAGGTTGTTGCCTAAAACACTAAAAGAAACTGGCTCTGAGCCAAATTCCTTAAACTGTTATAGAAGCTCCCTCACTGCTGACATACCTGGGCAGAACACCCCTTTTCTCTCTCTACGATTGCTGCAGCACTCTAAGGAAGTTCCCCTAATCAATGCTTTGGACTGATCACCCTGACACTTAGAGCTTCTTTCTTTGGAATCCCAGCCAGCCCTATCTGAAGACAGTTTGCAGCATTCCCTGGTGGGGTCTCCCTTGCTGCCGCTATGGGGGTGATTCTAGCCCTGGATCCACTGAGACAAAACAAACTACAAATTAGTTCTTAATGTAATAGGCACTAGGTTTGAGAATGCATTTATTAGCAAATACTTCGTTTTCTTCTGTCCAAAAACAGTATTGTTTATGTAAGAAGCCCAGTCTGCAGTAGTCCAAGTAAGGGCATTCATCGCCTGTGGGACAGCTGAAATAAGTTACTGGCATTTAAATTAATAGTTTACAAAAGAAAGTAAAAAGGTGGCCAGGCCTGGTGTCTTACGCCTGCAATCCCAGCAATTTGGGAGGCCCGGGCAGGGAGATTGCCTGAGGGCAGGGGTTGGAGACCAGTGTGTCCAACGTGGTGAAACCCCATCTCTACAAAAAAAAAAAAAAAAATTAGCTGGGCCTGGTGCCGTGCACCTGTAATCCCAGCTACTCGGGAGGCTGAGGCAGGAGAATCACTTGAACCTGGGAGGTAGAGGTTGCAGTGAGCTGACATTGCTCCCCTGCACCCCAGCCTGGGAGACAAAGTGAGACTCTGTCTCAAAAAAAAAAAAAAAAGCTTACATCTTGCACCAGATTATAGATCAACACCATACTACAGTACTTTCCTTCGTCAGGAAAGTCTCACTTTAACAAAGCATGCTTAGTGATCTTGTAGATTTTCATTCTGATTAAAGTTCTTTTTTTGAAACAGAATCTCATTCTGTTGCACAGGCTGGAGTGCAGTGGTGCAATCTCAGCTCACTGCAACCTCGCCTCCCGGGTTCAAGCGATTCTTCTGCCTCAGCCTCCCAAGTAGCTGGGACTACAGGTGCATGCCACCATGCCCGGCTTACTTTTTGTATTTTTAGTAGAGACAGGTTTCCACTGTCTTAGCCAGGATGGTCTCGATCTCCTGACCTTGTGTTCCACTCACCTCGGCCTCCCACACCATGCCCAGCCCAAAGTTCTTTATCTCACTGTGAACCAATCATAAACAGTTCCTGCACTGGCGGCCGTCCACAGAGCACACTGGCCTAGAGGCCCGTCCAGAAGCACACCCGAATGGTTAATGTTGCAGTCCGCGCTGTCAAGCATCACCTGTGTTGTTTCCCCCTTCACAGCCCCACTTCCCTCCTGTGCTGCTGAGGCCTGGTGAGGAGTATGACCACACCACCTGGTTCAAGTTTTCTGTGGCTTAAGAAAGTGTGAAGATATGACCTGGTCCAGGGCTAGGCTCAGCCGCCCGTCTCCTGTCCAGAAAAAAGGTGAAGATTAAGAAGCTCTCAAAATGATTCTATAGATTAAAATCATACAAATGGTGGCTGTCATAAGAATCAGTCTGGGTACTGATTTCCTTTTCCAGTGAATGGCTCCAGGCCGTGTCTAATGACCAGCTTGATTCTCTGTGCAGTTCAGAGGGCAGTGAACACAACTACCATGTTATCTTATCATCTAAGCTCTGGTGCTAGCCAGGGACTCCCATGCTGCTGTTGGCTCCATCTCTCCACCCTGCCGCTTTCAGCTTTTCACCCTTCCTTTTCTTTCTTTCTTTTTTTTTTTTTTTTTTTAAAGACAGAGTTTCACCATATTGGTCAGGCTGGTCTCAACTTCCTGACCTCAGGTGATCCGCCTGCCTCAGCCTCCCAAATCGCTGGGATTACAGGCATGAGCCACCGTGCCTGGCCGCCCTTCCTTTTCTTAAAGCTATTCTTGCATTGTTTTTGTTCCTCTTCCTCTGCCTCTAACCATCTTACTCTATTGCAGCACCCCCAAGTTTTCAAATGTCACGTTAGCTCAATCTGCAGACTGGCAGATGGACCTGTTTCTATAGAGTAGTAGATGATTGATAAGTCAGAAAACGGAGGCTTAGAGAGGTTGAGGACCAACAAGCTAATACCTAAAAAGTTGGGCCAAGACTTGAATTCAGGTCATGCAAATGCAAGTTCCCCTCCTGGCCTCTACCTCAGTCTACCAGGACATGCCCAGGATCACTGAGGGAGAAAGAGGGGTATGACACCTGCTCTGACTTTTGCAGCCAGCTTTGCTTCTCAGAATCATTTTTATAAGAAACATTAGGTTGTAATGAACTGTCTCATAGCATTAGTTGGTATGACTTAAAATGCAAAATCAAAATATCCAAAAAGAATCTGTCATTTACGGCCAGGCGTGGTGGCTCACGCCTATAATCCTAGCACTTTGGGAGGCCAAGGCGGGAGGATTGCTTAAGGTCAGGAGTTTGAGAGCCTGGCCAACATGGCGAAACCTCGTCTCTACTGAAAATACAAAAATGCCTGTAATCTCAGCTATTCAGGAGGCTGAGACAGGAGAATCCCTTGACTCCAGGAGGTGGAGGATGCAGTGAGCCAAGATCACGCCACTGCACTTCAGCCTGGGCAACAGAGCCAAACTTCGTCTCAAAAAAAAAAAAAAGAAAAAGAAAAAAGACAGCTTTCTCTCTAGTGAGGAGGGGAATTCCAAGAGGAAAAGGCCCGGAAGAGCCTTTGGGTTAACTGAGAAAGCACAGCCAGGCCAAGGCCTGGGAAGAACAGCAGGCAAGCACTGGAGACAGGAGCTGTGTTAGGGTGAGGAGAGAGCCTTGCCTTTCACAGCACAGCGAGGATGACACATTGCACTGGGGACAGAGGTTGTTATGTGACAAGGCTGGGGGCTCTTTCTTTCCTGGACAATCAAAGCATCGGTGATGGGTTTTGGTTGGCAATTTTTGAAAAAAAAAAGTATGTTATACTAATATATACTGTACTGAATTGAAATAAAACCAAAATCTGCACCTTCAAAAGAATTGTTCCTTTACTCAGCTTTAAATCATCAGGCGTGGACCTTTGGGAAATGGACTGAGAATATGGGTGTGTTCTGAATTCTACCTTACCCTTCAATGGGAGCCCCAGCATTTCCTCACCTAACAGGAAAGCTATCTCACTGGAAGTAGCTTTCCGTACTTCCTCTTTCTTTTTTTTTTTTTTTTTT